CTATCTCTTCTACGTTGCCGACCCAGAGCTGTGTGAAAAATTCAAGGCAGTAGTTGAAACAGAGGTGCCACAGACTCATGATGCAGCCGGACAACACAGAGACACACAAGTCTTACTGGACACTTTATCAATCAGGACCAACAATTGAAAAGTTTGCAAACTGCATTTTACTCAGATTATCATACAAGAGAGAGGATTCTAACATAGACAAGAGAAGAACGGACATACGCAGGGAACATGATGAGGTCTGCCCAGCTCACAGAGTGCACCTTGCAGTTTACGAAGCTGTTCGTATAATGCAATATATATACTGCAGAAAAACAGTGTTGTGCATCCCTGTTAATAAGGGAACTAATGAATCACTGTCGTCATAAACCACAGGTACAATCATCATGAGTGTGGGTGCATGTGTCGCTACTCACAGACGGAAACTCAAAGTCCTTCTGGTTGACCAGGTTGAGGACGTATTCGATCCGGTACTGGTTCTGTGGACATGCCAACTGCACCGGCGGTGTCAGGGTGCTCATAGCTGTTACTATGGTCTGTTGGAAACACAGAAACACAGATAAGAAAACAGGATTATTTGCTGGAAACTCACAGTTAAAGAAAAAACATGTTCTTTGTCTCCAAACAGCAGAAACGACGTTAACATAGACGCTTACCTCAATAGCCTCTTTAATATTATTCTTGATGTCCTGAATTTTCTGCTTCTTCTCTCTGAAACAGACACAAAAGTTCAGTGACAATCATGTTAGGATTTTATTGCACCATACAGACATGTGCATCTTCAAGATCGACAATCAGAAATAAATACAGTCTGAGACGTTTCTTACTGTTGTTCGTGGAAACCAGACATAGATGCACCAATGGAAAAGTAATCCTAATAACATCATCATCAGATGCAAAAGAAATCTGTGGAATTTACTCATTTATGTGCAGCTGATTTATTCTGGAAGCAGTTTCCAGTTTATATAAAAGGGTGTTCACATATTACAAGAAACAATAAATACACACCAATAATCAGAATTATTTTATTGCAGCCTAATTTAAACTCTAATAATCACATAAAAAATGTCAATAAAATAAAACTGCACTAAGTTTCCAGCAGGAGCAGGAAAAAAACAAACATAATAAATCATATAATTTAGAATAAAATCCCTCATCAATAGTAAATGACCTTTTTTATTTTACTCCTGAACATCCAGCTGTTGGGACACAACAGCGACTACAAACATCTGTGCAGCTGGTTTTCTATCTCCTGCAGAACATCAGCTATCATCTTGTCTCCTGAGTTTATAATAGTTGAGTTTAGCCGGCGAGTGTCGCTTTAATGATGTTAAAAAAAAAAAAGCGACGTACAGAGAAGGACTTCCATGTTAGCATGACGGGGCAGCAGACTGTGGTGAAGTGCATTAAGTTTGTTTTTGATCCTGCAGGGTAAACAGACCTTCAGCGGCACGCGTGGCGGAGAAATTATGTCTGTCTGCTGTGAAGGATAACTGTGTGTACAAGACATTTGGACTCTGTCTGACAGAAATGTTTCTAATAAAGGCAACCAGAGAGCCAGTTCGACTATCTTTCACCTTGAGCCGGCCTGGACAACAGCACTCTGTGTTTACAATAGTTCTATGTCAGTGACAAAGGGTGAGACGGGCCTCGCTGCTCTGTGCGACTTTTATCACGGGCGACGCTGCTGCTGCTGCTGCTGCGCTGCTCTAAGCGTATGAAGGTAGAACTTCTGCATTCAGAAACACCTCTCTAAGCAATTTATCTCTTAATTTACATGCTCATCAATTTGATTATCAAAAAAGCTGCACAGTTCCTCTACAGCTTCACCTCAAAACAAGTAACCTCTGTTAGATCCATTGTTCGAATGGTTCTTTTAAGGCTGCACGATGCTCAACTCAAACAGAAAAAATCCTAAACTACATGGATACACATAGAGCCTCCAAGGTAAAGCTGCACGGTGCTGCAATGACATGATTTGGCCACGTACAGACACCCGACGTTCAACTAGCAGATAAATAAATGACATAAAAACAGAAGCTGATTACTGCAATTGCTACAAAACATCAACCTTTGAGTAGAGAGAAAAGTTTTTTCTTTACTAATCTGGTTCAAAATGAAGCCCTTTAAACCCCCAAAACCCACCAGCAGGTTTAAAAGACATGTTATCCTACAAAATAAAATAAAACAAAAACTTAAAATCGTCAAAATAACAACATTTGACACAGCCAGAAACTGTAAAATCAGAAAAAATATAACTAAAAATCTGCTCTCTAACTTATTATGTGCAAAGTAGGGTTCTGTCAGGAAAAACAATCAAATTTAAGTTTAAAATCCTGACGTTTCAGCTGCATCACCTGATAAAAACTCAGCGGCTGAACCGGTTTGAACTGCAGGCAGTGTTTACACAAAGAGCAGTTAGTGAAGTATGCAAACCGGTTAATTAGTAAATTATTTTTAGTAGGTACAGTCAGCTTCAAAACATGATGCCACATGCTTGTTACAGTGATGACGTCTAGTGATACGCTGAGGTGAACTCAAGAGCTGAAAAGATGATCATGGGACATATGTAAAATCTATATCCGATAATTAAAAGAAAAATCATGTATGTTGCACTGGTAATTTTGTCGGATCACGATAAACTATCAAATTTACATTTAGCTGGACTCTATTTACCATCAATGCACATAAGTAAGAGTGCAGCAGCATCTGGTGAAACTGTTCTTAATTGGATATTCAGCCAAAAACTGGAAATTAATGTATCAGTGTGTCAAACAACAACTGAATCATGTCTATGAATGGCCAAAACAAGCGCATAAGGCCAAACATCCAAGAGAATTTAGATAAGAAAACAAACAGATATAAAAAATGGAGATGTTGAAGGTGAAAAGGGTTTAAAACTCTAATCTACGACTGCACAACATGTTGTCTGAGCACAGACTTTGCGATCTGTGTGAGTGCAACAGTCACGTTGCAATAAGTTAAATGAATTAAAACATAACATGCTACGACTGTAGGTAGAAAACTTACACGAATCTCATTTTGCACCACAAATTTAGAAGAAAAGTCTGTCTGATAGATCAGCATTTACTCTGATCGAATTGTTCTTGGACACATTTAGTGTTTTTTAAACGTCATTTAAAAGTCACAGAGTTGAAACGCAGATCTACACGTGCTCAACTACACGAGCGAAGAACACGAGAGAAACACTAAAAAGGAAGTTCTCATAGAGTAATCGTAGCAACTGGACTTGCTTGAGTTCCTTGAAGACGTTTCACCTCTCATCCAAGAGGCCTCATCGGTTCTGAGTGAGTATTTGTTGCTCCTTCCCCTTGACATGAGCAACAAACCCCAACTGAAACAGAAACTCAGGTGTTCATGGATCCTTATGGATATAAGTATCTCCCAACTAGTCAGAACTGATGAAGCCTCTTGGATGAGAGGTGGAACATCTTCAAGGAACTAAAGCAAGTCCAGTTGCTACGATTAATCTACCAGAATGACCATGACCTGGATGACTGAGAACCTTCACAGACACTAAAAAGGAAGATTTGATTGCTTAGATGGAAATATTTCAGCCGGTAAAGGAGGATTTTAACCAAAAACAGGTTCTGTGCCGGCCGTTTCTTGCAATTGTTGTCACTATAAGGCAACTCATTGACTTAAATCAGCACAACAAAGCAAAATGTGACAAATGCAAAGCCAGATCTGAATACTACCCAAAGCAAAAAAAATATTTTGGATGCTTTTGCTAGTTTTACAGCATGTGTGAAAGGTTCCAAGCTGCTTTTTAAATGTCTGTTACACATGCACTCCCCTACAAAACCACCACAATCACTCTAAAAGGACAACAAAAGAGTTATTTAGGTATTCTGGTGTCATTTTTCACATTGCAATATGTGAAAAATACAGAAAAATAAAATACTGCAAAGTCTGTTTTCTCAAATATCGTGCAGCCCTAAAACAATCAGCAGTTTTATATACGAACTGACTAAATGACAGCCTGAGAACTTTAACTGTAGTTCCTCTCAGCTCTGCATGTTTCTGTCTTTCAGCTCATCGTGTTGGTTTTATAGCCACAAAATTCACTACTTTGGAGTTTATCAGAACAATTTTTCCAAAAACCCCCCCCAAAAAACGTGCCCCACATATCTGCAGCCCTCAGTTGTTGAGCGCTTCACATGTCCACTGATGAGCCTGGCAGTTAAATGCCTTGCCCAAGGGCAGCTCAGTCATGACTGTTCAAAGAACATGCAGCGCTGAGTCACTCATTCATTTATTCATTCATTCATTTTCCAACTCAGGCCAGCAATTGGAACCAGCAGTCTTCCGGTCACAAGCCAATTACTCTGACCTTACCACGTTACCACAACACTCGGCCCATTCACCCCGAATCTGTTATCACCGGCGTTATTGAACCCTTTAAGTCCCAAATCAGTGTATTAATATCCTGCCTGAGGATGCAGCCTCATTAAAACATATTACAATGCCTGTCATGTGAAGACCCACAAGCAACCGGCCAGCAACGCTGTTGTTTTGGCTTTAATGGATCTTCGCAGACAAAGGCGGTGATTCATTGTTACACGCTGACATCTGACCACACGTTCAGGAACATACAACACGGACGCTGACAACAAAGGAGCCACACAAGGATTCTGTGAACAGAGAAATCAAGCCGATCATCCAAGTAATGTCACGTATCTGACTGTAAGGGGTGATGCTGAATGAAGGCACACACACAGACACACACACACAGACACACACACAGTTCAGTGTTGTGGAGTCACGCGCTGGGTCATATGCTGAAGTCTGCCTTAGGTGCTGATTTTCTAGTTTAACCTTGTAAAGATGCTTCCATCTTAACCAATACATGACCTCCACCGGACTGGTACATGCCAAGTCGCTGGCACACACACACCACACACACACACACACACACACAAACTTTACTCAGCTCAAGTTAAGGATGCGATTTGAAAATAAGAAATGCTTCAGAACGGTTTGTCCAAAGACTAAAATTCATGAAACAATGACCAAAAAAAGTGGAACTGATTCTAAAAAAAACTACTTCCAGACACTTTTTTTTTTTTACGTTTGTCACCAGATTTGTGTAATAAAAAAATGGTCCACAAAGTTCAGACAAACACATGGACGCATTATAACACTTCACTTCCTGTCTGGTCTGTGTGAACAGTTTATGAGAGTTGTGCAGAGAAAGTTCGTTAGACGGATGTTTCTGAAAAGCTCCAACATGATGTTTTGTTCTTCTCTGAGCTGCACAGGCACCTACTTTCCAAAAGCACTTTGTAATGTTAACTTCTTAATTAACAGATGGGTTGTTTGGTGTACCAAGTGTAAAAAAAATGTTGTTCCTTAAAGGCTAAGATGACGTCCTCAAACATCTTTTTTTTTTTTTTCAGTTTAATGTCACAACGAAGGAAAGAAACCAAAAAATACTTAAAATACAATATTCTGGAATCACAGTATTTTGACTTCTTTAAAAAACTACTCAAACTGGGAGCTAAATTATCAAAATAGTTGACAGTTCTTAACATTTGATTATAAATTTTGGTATATCATTAAAAAAAAAGAACCTAAATGTCTCATTTATAGATGATGAAACCTGCCTGCAGTGAATTCTTGTCCACTTGAAACTGACTACAACGCTTTCTCCAGGTGTATTTAAAGCAGTTGGGGTTTGCTGTTGACCACATGGCTCTGACTGAAACACAGATTATACTGATGCACTGTTAACCAGCTCAGTTTGTCCAAGTTGTCTATAAGTTGTGAGGTTAAATGTCATTATTGTCAAGTATAATCTGACTTTACGGGGCAGCTCCAATGAGGTGCATGTGTCCATTTGTGCACTACAGGGAAATGATGGAAAATGTACTGCAAGATGGCTCCCTGTAAGGGTCTATGAGGAGGTGCAGCTCCAGTTTGGACTTGAGGTTTCTCATTTCTTAACCCTCCAAGTTCTAAAACTCTCTACAGGTTCAAAGGGATGTTTACTGTTTTTTTTAATTGCAAAAATTAAACCATTGATCATGAAAAACTGTAAAAACAGAAAAAAAAAATCTGGATATTTAATCAAATTCACTTTATTCCGCATGTTTATTTCTTTAAAAATTGCCAAAAATAAAGTGTCTGCATTAACCTGTTTCTGTAAAAAAATAAAAATTCAGCGCTACTTGGTACAACCAGGAAGCCACTAGTGGACGACGGTGCAACCAGCAGTCATGATGAAAATTAAGGAACTTATGAGCCAAATTGGGCTGAACTGCAGGCTGTGCTACACTGAGCAGACTCGCTCAGGTTTTTTTTTTTTTTACTTTTTATAAAATGAATAACCACAGAAATTCTTAGTAATTAAAAATGAGCCCACGGTGAATAAAAATGTGACAGAGGCAAAGAAAGTGTTTGGGGTTCAGAGGCTGTGGAGAAGTCCGATACTTCTCTGTATAAAGTCGTATCATCACCACCGTACTCACTCTGCATTGAAGCCGTTGACATGTAGGATCCTCATCTGTTTCACTATGGTGCTCTTTCCTGACTCTCCAGCTCCTGAGAGACACAGAGGGAGTAAAATGATACAGATTGTTGACAACATGACAAAAAATACACTCACATACACAGTGCTGGGACAGAGTATCTCTAAAATACCACCTGTGTATAGTAGTTTTAGTTCCCGTATGTGGATAAAAGTCGTGTTTAGTCGTGACTCGATGAACCGACACTAAATGTAAAACCTTCTTTTATGTCGGATTGTCAAGACGGAGGTCGAGATACAAGGAGGGCTTGATGCTTGAAGGCTCATTTGTTGTTAATAATTGTTCGTAGTTGTTATAACAACTAGTAGGGCTTTCTGGTCTCTGGATATCCAGGCCCAATTAATGATGAATATCCGAATATTCGGAGCAGTCGGGGGGTACCTGTTGGAGCGCAACCCCCGGGATGGAAGTGGCCGGAACGCACAGGCAGTACTTGGCTGCTGATGCCAGTTTAGTTAGCGCTCACACTTCTGTTTCCACCATCGGCGGCGGCGGCGGGGGGTGGGAGATATGCTCCACCGTTACCTTCCATGTTTACTTCCGCAAACACTGAGCACGCTCGCTGCGTGTGACATCGCCGTGTCCTCTTCTGCGCATGCGGGACACTTTTGGGTCGTGTGAAGTTCACACAGCAGATCACATACAAGTCGCATTTAATTGGAAAAGCGAGCGAACTCACAAAAAAATCGGATTTCACAAAAAAAATCTGAATTGAGCATTAAGTCCTGCAGTGTGAACGTAGCCAATCTGTGGGATTGTTCCGTCAGACAATACGCCGTTATCCTGATTTGTGACATAAAATTTCATGTCAGAATCCAAGGCTGTCAGTATGTTAAGGCTACTTTTAATGGGTTCTGTTCGTTTTTACTAAAAACCTGTTGGATAGCAAGGTTTAGGATTGTTAAGGGTCAGAATGTTGAGTCACGACTTAAAAGCCTTCATTGTGGAAGTTCTCAAGCTGCTGTGGTTGTGACTGAATACGCTCAACACAACCTTTTTAGGGGAAAACAAGAGGTTGAGTCAAGGATGCATGTCACGGCTGAAATAATAAACTGGATTAATCCACAATCACAGGATTACACTTTTTAAATTAAGGATGACTACCATCACCATTAAGTTCCACATGACAAGCAAACGTAGTATTTTCTCTTCAAAAGCAGGTGCTACAGTGTTAAACACAACATAAAAATTTGAGTTTGGCACAAAGAGGTGACGAGATGTTTCATATTTGACAAGTGTTGCATGACACAGAATTTCCAGTTCCAGTTTGAGCTTGCATCGTGCTGTAAGATCTTGTTGTGGCATCAAACTAACTACAAACTGGCCTCTTCAAATTCCTAAAGCCCTCTGCTGATTCTAGCAACGTTCTTCTAACAAACAACTACCCCAGAAGTTTGCTCGGTGTGGAGAAAATGTGTTGACAAGGTGTAAACATAAGTAAGAGGAACAAGCGCTGTGCTAAAGTTTTGGACACTAGATTCCTTTTTTCTTGTTCTGATCCGTCTCAGATTCATTCTGCAGCATCACAGTGACCCCAAGCATACAGCCAGAGTAAAATAATAAACTATATTCAGCGGAAAGAAGAACAGGGAGACCTGCAGCAGATGGTAAAACCCCCACAGAGCCCTCATCTCAGTATCATGTAGTCAGTCTGGGATCACATGAAGAGACAAAAGACGCAGAGAAAACCTAAATATACTGAAGAACTGTGGCAAGTGTCCTCCGTGATGCTGACCTGCCAAACAGACGGAAGTAGAGCTGTACTGAAGTAGAACTGGTGTCGTTTTAACCCTCTGGACCCCAAAACCCACGGCTGGGTTTGACAAGCAAAAAAAAAAACTGACAAAATGACACCATTAATCAGAGCCAGGAGTTGTAAAAATGGTGACTTGAACTCTGTCACGTGTCGTTCTGTCGATAAAATGATAAAAATTTAAGCTTAAAATTGGGATATTTCATCAAAATCACTTTACGTCTCATTTTAACATTTGCCAAAATAAACTCTTTGCACTGATCAGATTCTGTACAATCAATACATTCTGCACATCTGTGAAACCATCAGTGGCTCAGTTGAACAGAGAAACAGTCTTTTCAGCTGAACTGCAGGCAGTGGTTACACAGAGTGGATAAGAGACAATGACAGACAAATTAAAAATGTGAAGAGTTAAATATATATAGGAGCCTATGTATAGTCATACTATTTACAGAATTTACAAAAACACCTGGAAAAATGTTGTACGTGTCGATTTCAGGCTTTTATTTTCTCTTTTTTTTAAAAAATGATTTATGCAATTTTAATTTTGTTATCTGGAACAAAAGGACATGTTCTACTCCTGGTCATGGCTGTGCTGTTTCCGTAGACGAGCAGGACTTTATATTAGAGTAAAAAACGAGCTCACAGTGAGTAAAAACATGACAACATCCAGAAACAGTTTGGGGTTCAGAGGGCTAAAGATAAAATATGGTCAAACCAAATATTAAAATGATAGATATTTTCTGTTTACTACATAAAAACATCCTCATCCTGCTTGTAGAGCCGAACTCCTGCAGCACAGGACTGTGCATGGCCTGTCTGTGATGCATTTTTTGTGTGCCAATAACCGGAAGCTGTTAGTATACAGCATTGCCAGGCAGTCAGCCGTATGCTGCAGGTCTCTGGATGGATTGTGTGTATCTACTGTAAGAGCGAAACTCACAGCTCTGCAGAATACACAACTACACCAAGAGCGAGAAACTTAAGAGTCAGTGTTTACAAGTTGCAGCTTCGTTGCACTGTCCGATGCCCTTCCTGTCCCAGGCCTTAAAGGTTACAGTACTTTTCATAATCGTCTTTATCTTAACATCATCTAAACATCAACATGTGACTTCACGGGAATCAAATACGTTTCACTTCTGGAGATCTAAAATGTTTTGCACATGAAATATAACGTGAAGTATTAAATGTGAGAATTAAAAATGCACCACAAAGGCTCTCTTAGACAATCATTTTTCCCTTTTTTGAAATTACCTGCACACTATTTGAATAACTGCTGTAACTTGAAACTCCTACTTTTTGTTTGCAGCACCTGTCCGGCAGCTTAAAATAAAAAATGCAGTGTTTGATTTTACAGTGTTATACATAAACACTGCACAATCAGTCAGTAGTGCTTGATTTTTAAGGTATCATTGAATGTTTTTAACTAAGAAATGGTCTCAAAATGTGACTTGTGTGCATGGATGTTCCTCTCATATTGAGTTCTAGATAACTTTGAGAGTTACTTAACATCAGATGCAATGAAAACGGGTGATTATAGCTAAAGTTTAGTAGCAATATTAAGATCTGACATGAGGACATGATGTGACACAGCAGATTAGATCCTCTCCTGTGTCAGCTCCCTCTGATGAACTAAACTAGAGTTTAACAACAACTATTACTATCAGATGTCCTCAAACCAACAGCCTACATACAGATCCAGTTTTAAAAATACATAATTAAAAGCACTCAGTAATGAATGCCAACATCGAAGTGTTTGATCAACCAGGAAGTTGCAGCAACTTGGTGTCGGGACATTTTGAGTTTCCTACCTATGAGGTGCAGCCTGGTACATGATCAGATCAATAACAATAGAAGAGTTTGGGGCTTTGGGCATTTTGGTTTCTCAGTTGCAGTGAATGAACCACGAACTCATAACATCACGCTCTCAAATCTGACCGATGACTTCATGTCACAGTGTCAGCTGTCCCGCTTCTCTCCCGTCTCCTCCTCGTCTTTTTTCCAGCGCTGCATTGTCTGATGAAACGTCCCGACTTCTTAGAAAACAAAAGCACCGAGGAGCATTTACAACCAAACCAACTGTTTAACCACCTGACTCAGATCCATGAAGCGAGTACGTTGCGATTTCAGTTGAGAAATGACTCAAGTCGACTCTGAAAACACACCAAAAATATCAAAAGTGTGAGCAGCTCTTTCGATATGAGATAGTGATTTAGCGGGTACAGAGGTCGGGGCGGGTTACGGGGGTCGCACTATTAATCTCTGCAGGAAGAGAGTTTAAAAAAAAAAAAAAACACAAAACATCTGAAACTCTTTTATGCTAACAGCGAGCACGGCTTCTGGTAAACCCGGTCAGTTCTGAAGAATCCGTCACGTTAATGATGAACTTCCTGATGTAGTACTAGAGGAAAGCTTAGTCAAGATAACATGTAGAGCAAATAAAGGACAGACAACTGATAGAATAGTCGCAGCTAAGAAACACGTGCAGAGCTTTGTGCACGCTGGATTTTCCATTTGATTCACAAATATTGTGATGACAGTGCATCAGAGTTGCACCGTCAAACCAATCCGCCATCAGACTTCTGAATAAAATGATGCACCACCCTTGTTTACGGGTGCAACTCTAGACTCGTTCCACCTGACCTGAGCAGTTCTATTCTGTCCTATACTGTGGGATTTTATGGACTATTAATGGCACATTTACTTATTTAGCACATTTGAGGCATGTTTTTACCCACACAGGTTTGTTTTGTGGTGTTTTATTGTGATTGAGTTGCTTTAAAATTTCATCCTGCTTCCTGATTGTAGAGCTTGAATGACGATAAATTGGATCTCGAAATGTTCACAGTGATTTTGCTACTACGTCTACCTTAATTGCTGTTCAGTCATATTGTCATCATCGTAAATATAGAGATGTAAATATTAAGAAGTGGCACATAAAACGGTATTTTCCTGCTTAAGAGATGCAGGAATTGATCTAAAATGGATCATCGACGATTCAACGTGAGGAAACTTTTACATTTTTTGAAGTAACTTGTTGGATAAACATCAGCAGACACGTGAGGAGATGATGGGATCCACCACTTCCTAGAAACAGAAAGTTAAAGCTTATATCCCTACATCGGGGACCAATAAATCTTGATTCAAAGTTGTCTCATCTTTCCAGTCTGCAGAAGTGTCCCTGCTGCCTTTCAACACATCACACATTGTGTCATTAGTCCTCCTGAAACCCGCCCTGCTAACACGGGCCACAAACCCATTAACACTTTAATTAGATGATCTAGTTAATCCGATGAAACCGACTCTTTAATCCAGTGACCGGTTCTAATCGCAGGTTCCAATTATGCTGAAACCTGCTGGACAGACGTGCTTCCAGTTTTGCTCTGCAGCTTTTTGTGTGTTAACTACAAATAACACAAAGAGCGACACACACACACACTAATGTTGAAGAGTGTCTTGGTTCCTGGTTGTCAACTGCACTACAACATACAAACTAAGCACAAAGGGCCAGCGCACTTTTTTCTACAGCTGCACCAGGTTTGCATCTTTAAAAGCATCGAGCACAAACAAGTTTAAGTTGATCTATTATATAATGAAAGCAGAGCTAACTTTAGTGCAGATATCTTTGTTTTGGTTTTCATGCCGGTCTTGTCCTTCTGCTTTCCTAAAGTCACCACAACTTCCTCCCTCAGCATAAATACCGGCGCGTCACACAATACGCAGCCTCAATGACATTACATTAATCAAATATTATGATTGTTTTTCGCCTTTACAGAGAACACCGCGGCTTCTTGGAAGTGATAAGCCAGTGAATGGACGTGGAAGGAGGGTACAGAAGTTAGACTCTCTTATTTGTCTTCTTATGTAATGTCAGAGACCCAGCCCACCTCCAGTTCACTCTCACACAGCCACAACCACATGTTGAGTCTTACACATGTTCATTTCTTCCAAGTTTCTCCTGTGCCTTTTCTTACACTTGCCACTATCTCATGACACTGTCTGGGCTACACACCCACAAACTGGCATGCAACGTTCTAACTATTGTTGGTTTAGCAAACTTTTGCGGCCTCCGTGCAGGACTGGAACTCGTGCTGTGCAGCCACACACACTCACAACAGCTGAAAAAGCAGGCGCAAACCAACAATAAATGACAATAAAGCCTGTTTTGATTGATGCCAGGTGGCTGTTTGTGCGACGATGATGACCTTATGTGTTCACCTGCAGCATGTTGTGGCCGCTGCCGGTTGTGGGGACTGTCACTTTGACAGCAACATGCTGAAAAGCCAGCACAGGGCTGCATTTTCAGCCTTATGCAATGGCAAAGTCACACTGTTGACAATGTTTCCCAAAACAACATCCCAGAAGGTTATGCAGGGAGGAAGCAGAGTCTCAACTGTGCAAACTGAGAGGCCTAAACTGTGAAGCAGCAAGCAGACAGAGAGACAGAGAGACAGGACAAATGTAAGGAAACATGAACATACATAAGACAGGAATCCAACTCACCTAAAAGTAGTAGTCTGTGTGTTGCTCTGTATATCTGTTTGTCTTTCTGGAGCTGCTTCTCTATCTTTTTGTTTGCTTCTCTTTGTGCCTTCTCCTCATTTCTCTGGTCTTCGGTCTTACTGTTGCCCAAACAACCCATCTTCCCGCAAGAAAAAAGAAAAAAAGGGGGTCCAGGGGAAGAGGAGGAGGAGGAGATGGAAGAAGAAGAAGAAAAAGAAGAAGAAGAAGAAGAAGAAGAAGTAGTGGTGGTGGTGGTGGTGGAGGAGGAGGGTGGGGGGTATGTAGAAAGAAAAATAAATAGTCTAGATCCCTCGTTTGACCCGCGGATTTGGCGACAATGTTGCCCACATTTACGCGCTTTGACGCCCCTGGCCTTCTCCGGGAAACTGTCCGGCTGCAAATTATGTGTCCATAACGCGTATTTTCTTTTTTTTTTTCTTCTTCTTCTTTGCTGTCAGAGAAAAAGGGCAGGATACTGTTGCTGACGACACGGAGGCCGCCTTCTGAATCCTGCTCGGGCTTTTTTTTTTTCCTCCTTCACATGCAGTGTAGTTTTTGTTTTGTTTGTCCACTTTCTCTGCGCGTCTCCCCCCTCGACTCTTATCCAAGAATTATAATCCAACACTTATGTCACCAAAAAAGCGGGCTTTCCCCTCGCAATAAACAGCCCTAATTTGCATCTCCAAAAGCCCGGGTCTTGCGTCTCACTGCTGCCCGTGACAAGGAGCCGAGCTCGGCGTGTCCGAGAAGCTCGCCCGGCTCGTTTCCACGTCGCCTTTCATGATAAAACACTTCCATAGGTGGACACTTCTCGGCCCGATCCGTTCCTCCAGCCTTCCCCCCTCCGACGGCTGAAGGGGAAACAATATTTACACCCCCCCGAACGAGCTACATGTGTGATATTCTCGCTGCTTCCGTCGTCATCCGGCTCCTTTTCATTCTCCGCGTCAAAATCGAAGCCAAAAAGGCAGCTCCGGCCGTGCGCTCCGTCTGGATCCCCCGCCGCCGCCTCCAGCTCAGGAACGATCCCCCAGATTTGTCCTCCTTTTTTTTTTTCTTTTTCTTTTTTTTTTTTTTTTAAATTTGTGATGGCTGTTCCTTTGCTGCTTTCTCCTCCAGAAAGGCCTTCTCTCTCTCTCTCTCTCGCTTTCTCTCTCTCTCTCTCTCCTCTCTCTCTCTCTCTCTCTGCCCCTCGCTTTTGTTGCTCAAATGTGTTATCAGCCCCTCACATCACCACTGAGCCTCCAAAACTGCGCACCGATACACTTTTTTCTCCCCCCCTCCTCCTCCTTCTTCTTCTTTAAATTCCCAACTCAGGCTCTCCGATCAATTCCTTTTAAAAGAGAGAGAGAGAGAGGAAAAAAAATCTATAAAGGAAAAAAAAAAAAGAAAAGAAAACGTGACCAAGATGTGAAAATCCCTCGAAATGTGTCCACGTTTGTTGCAGGTGAAGAAGAAAAGCTCCAGTTTTTGGACATCGGCCTGTGCGCACCAGCGTACATGTATATATATGTATTATATGTATGTCTGTATGTTCCTGCTGCTGGATCCGAGGTGGGCTAAAGGCTTGACACTACATGTGCATTTACATTCACCAAAAAATAGGACACGGGGCTGTTGTAGCAGCACATTCCCACCGTGAAGGCCGCTCCCCTCCTGGCCGCTGGTCGAGGAAGGTGAAAGACAGGAATAACCAATTCTTGGAGGTTATTATTTTCTCTCTCTCTCTCTCTCTCTCCGAGAATAGTAGGCTACATTGGGGAGATAGACAGCGCTGAACAGAGACGGGGTGGGGCCACACGGCGCTCATTGAACCCTGGGAAGGAAGGACCGAGAGAGGAGGAGAGGAGAGGCCGCTTCGCCTCGTCACGTGGCCCGGGCCGCGGAGGTGCGTCAGCGGCGCGGCGGTGCGCGCAAAACGGCGCCTTCTTCAAAGCGGCGCAGACGGTGGTGGAGGGTCCGGAGGCGTGAAACGACGGCGGGGCAGGAGGGTGATTCCTGCACAGCTACAGGTGGAGAAGACTCAGGTGTCAGTGGGGATTCTCTGTTACAGTCAAGTACAAAGTAAAGTTATATTATTGATTCTATTTATCATGGAGCAGGCTGTGAATCTGGATAGGATGGAATTCACTCATTCATTGGAAATAAAGAACATAGTATGATCAGATATTATAAATACCAGTAACCAACTGTGGTATTAGCAGTACACCAAGTATGTGTTTACACAGTTTGTTTTTATGTTGCCATAAATTGGGCTCTCCCACAAGGTCCAAAAACATGTTGAGGTTAATTGGTGATTCTAAATTGTCCGTAGGTGTGAATGTGAGTGTGCTTGGTTGTCTGTCTCTAAGTGTAGCCCTGTGATAGACTGGTGACCTGTCCAGGGTGTCCCCTGCCTTCACCCTGAGTCAGCTGGGATAGACTCCAGCCCCCCATGACCCCAGTGAGGATCAAGTGGTGTATAGATAATGCATGGATATATACATATGAATTGATGCATCACTTTAATGGTGCAGTTGCTGAATCTACAAAGTGACCAGAGCTGTCACATGAAGGCATTTCCCTCTGAAACGCAGCGGAAAGAAAGAAGAAGTGACATAAAATAAAAACTGAAGTAGAGTACAGGCATCTCAAGACTATAACAAGGTATAGTTTTTGAAAAAATGTTGTCACCACACACCAAAGTTAGCAGTAATCCAGATGAACTCACACAACTTAACAGAATTCACTGTCATTAAATACATTATTCTAAATAGGGAAACAGTGTGTGAAGTTTGGATGACAATTAGCATTTGTTTATAAGTATTACTGACATAAATAAGCAGGATTAGAAAATGTTAATGCCAATAACTAGTCTTGGTGTTGTTAGTGTGCCTTTGTTCACAGCAAATCTGTTCTGGACCAACTACTGTCACAGATAAAACTATACAAGATATTATTTTATATTTCTGACAATTAAATTAGCATAAATTGCCATCTTTTACACGGCGCTGCAGCAATAAATCATATGTCAACTAATAAACTATGAACTAATCGCTTTGAGCATTTTCTTTTTTTAAAGAAAGTTCAAATTCTCTTATTCTCATATTTTTTGGTTCTTTCCTAATCGCTGACATTAAACTGACTATCTCTGGGTTGAGGATAAAACAAGACACCTTGGACTTTACTAATCAACCTTTTTCACCATTTTTTGACCTTTTATAAACCAAAAAAACTTGAGAAATTAATAAACAGATTAACTGACAATGAAAATCAACATTAGCTGCAGCCGTACTTTAACTGGTTACAGCACCACTGGCTAAATGTCTCCGGCCTCCATCTCTGCATGTTTTGGGTTCGTGGCAAAGTACGCAGGACCCGTCTGTCACTGAGCAACACAAACAGACAAACACACTCATCTGCTTCCAGTTCATGCTGCCTGCTGGTGTTTGGACTGAGGAGGAAACAGCAGCACCTGGAGGAGACTCATGTTGATGCAGGGAGGAAGCACAAACTGGACAAAATAAGAGCCTCAAACCAGAAGTTTCTCACTCCAGCAGGGTGAGAATGTCATTGTATCGTTGTACTATTTAAACATATAATACTGTAATGCTGTGATGGGTTATTCGATAGTGAGCACCACACTGTATGCACAATGACAAGAGTCAGCAGGAAACTGTAGTAAAAATAAAAAGTTTGTGAAACCAGAAACAGTTAAAATACACAATTCCAGGTCCTGCAATAAGATTCTCGTAAAGTTTATAACAGTCATTTTATATTCTTGTTGGATAAAAGAGACACTTTCCACATCACTGAGGCACCATCTATTGGTTGTGATTGATACACACAAATAAATATGGAGAGAAGTCAATGAAAAAGGTGGACAGCTCCATTAATGTTCTCAGCAAGAGGTTAAATCTACCTATTTTTACATACACAGACCACCTTTACAGAGTTTATTGCATAATTAATGGGAAAACAAGTTATATTATAGAAATGTTTAAATGCAGACAGGACCTATAAGAAGCTGTTTTAGTCAGAAAAATTAGTAAACAAATGAATATTGTTGTAAAATATGATAATTACTGTCTGGATGGGATTTCGCTAGATTTTTATTTTAAACATGCAGACATTTTGTACATTTTAAATAAAATCCTAAAACTTTATTTTCAACTGGGTTATTGATATGGTAATTTTATCTACAAGGGGGCAGTTCATCTGCTATTAGTCCTGATGAACACTAGGTGGCAGCAGCCTTCTAACTCTGATCTGCAGGTTGGGGTTAATTTCTTTGCTGCTAAATTATTGCTAATAACTGTATGATTCTCATATATTTCACAAGAGAAATATTTGATTGAAAGATATTTTGTTAAATTGCTTTGTAAAAGGTGAAATTGGCTAAATGTGTAGTCTAAATGGTTTTGAATATTATGGATGAATTTGGAGGTGAAATCTGCAGGAAATAAAGAAAGAAATTCTAATAATTTACCTTTCAGTACTGTCACCCTAATAAAATATAAGTTAGTTGTAGGAGCAGCTCATACCTTTAACCTTGTTTCTGTCAGAATGAAACCATTCTTAAGATAAAACTTTACCCCAAAGGAAATTTTTTGTCAGATCAAAAAACTAAACTGCATAACATGACAGATGCAGTGACGAGTAGAAAATCAATAAGATATAAATATGACACATTCCTGAAAATAAAAAGAAATAAGCTGAACTAACACAGGAATAGAAAAATAAAAACTAATACGTGCAATGATTCTGAGGTAGTAAATCAATGTCACTCATGATTGTTAAATATTCAACCTGAAAATTTAATATTACACATTATAATAAAATATTACTCATGAAGTTGAAACGTTGCACCGGAAAAATGAAATATTTCACAGTGATAAACACGTCATGTTTTCAATGTGTGTTTCTGTAGAATGTTAAAAAAACAAATAAATTAAAAGTAATCTCCCATTATGTTTCTGATTTTATATCTAAAAAGTTTTCTGTAACGCCATTCTTCTGCACGGTTCTTCACGACTACTGATGCAAACTACCTAATAAACCTTCAAACTGCACCCGGATACACGACCAGGGCAGAAAGCAGGACGTAGCACGGGTTCGTCTCCGTAGCATTAGCGGTGAAATGCAGCTGTGAGCCGACTAAAACGTGTCCTCCGGGTTTTGTGGTGAGCTTCAGTCGTGAGTCTTCTGCTGACCTGGTGCTCTTTAAGGCCAAATTAGTCAAA